CGAGGGTGTGGCTGCTTTGCTGCAAAACAAAATTGCAACAGCTAGCAACTACTATGGCTAGAAGAGTGTTTTGTTTAGGTAATTAGAAACGGAGAGATAGCAGAGGTTTTATATTTATCAATATCTTTCTTAGGTATCAGTCATATAAAGTTGGTGTCTGATGTCTTAAAGGAAAGTCGCTTCGTTGATGCTGACTGGTTTGAGTTAGGAATGGGATTAAACTTACCTTATCCTGGCCTGGCAAACATCAGAGCTAGATTTACTGATCCTTCTCAGTGTTTACTGGAGTGCTTGAGCTTGTGGTTGACTTCAGCTAATAATCGTACTTGGGAATCATTAGCTAGTGCACTTGAGAGAATGAATCAAAAACCAGCTGCTACGCTCATCCGTAAAACATGTAAAGTTAACATACATACAGTACATGTACATGAGTACAATAATTTTAATTTTATAGATGATGATCCTGCTAGTCAGATATTCCAGCATTACAGTGATAGAATATCACAAGTATCTCTCACTGATAGCTGTATCCAGTTGTTGTTTACAGAAGGATTAATCACTGAGGATACACAAAGGAAGATTGAGAGATGTGGTGGCTCATTAAGTGATACATTAAGAGAATTAATGATTGCAGTATCTGATGATCACAGTAAGCTGAGGTCACTAGGAAATATATTAAGGGAATTAGAAGAAACTAAACCTTTAGCTCAAGATATTATTAAAGATTGTGGTAAGAATAACAGTATATGCTAGTAATAACTGTGTTATTGTATGTTTTCATAATAGATGAAATGATAGGATCAGTGACTACAGCCTTAGTTAGACAAGTTACCAATAGTACAGTCAACCTTTTGCCTACTGCAAACACAACAGTATCAGGTAACCCTATTATATGATATTTATCATTCATATGATTATAGCAGGAGAGTTCTTTTTCAATGCAGCATATCGGCCAATTTTTAATGAGGTCAGAGGCCATTTTGGTATTCTTCGAGATAAGATAGTTCCATTGATATCTCAATCAAAAGCATCCATTGAAGAAATGAAGTCATTCCTTCAACTATCCTTCCCTGAATTGAGTGCTGAGCTGTCTAATGCTCATAGTATTGAGGGCATCATGAATGTTGTTGTGAAGAGTTGCCGAGTCAATGACATCTCAATAATAAAAATAATTGTGCTACGCTTTGAAATTACTCAAGCTGAAGATCTTATATCGAAATATGAAGGCATAGTCAAGGGAGTCTGTGGCTCATTAAAAAACTTCCATAGTCAGAATCAGCCCAAACATCTTAGCTATTACAATACAATTCAGTTTACTTTGGGATGGGAACCAGATGAGCACTCACTTGATGACATACGTAATCTCTTAGAGGAAGCATTTAAAGAATTAAACAAGAGGATTATTGTACAAAGCATTCACCGTGGAAACTCCATCATTATCATCTGTTATGCTCCACATCATTTACTAGCTGCTCTTCTCTTGGAAGCACAAGACAACCTAACTGTCTTGATGAAGGAATTCAGTTTAATTAGACTAACCATTGGCCACTACACTGTCTATGATAAAAGGATCAGATACAAAGTACAAGATATTGAGACATTGTTTAATTATATACTGAACTGATTATAGGTAATGAATAATGAGTGTCTTGCAGAGGAGATTAAACTAGCTGATGGAGAGGAACAAGAACTGAGGACTTTACTTGATTACAAAGAAGGTGTGTGAGTTGATCTACTACTCAATTACTGATGTTACTTTTACTAATGGTATAGGATCAATATTTGAACA